AAAAAAAAAGAGGGGAAAGTTCGGAACTTTGGCAGATGTCCATACCTCGGCACGCACGGCACCAGGGCTTTCTTTCCCGTTCTCACGAGAAGTCAGATCACCCGGTCCCGCGGTAATCGTTTTATTGTCTCTGAAATTTAGCGACGTCCATCCGTGCCCCATCGTTATCTTACGCCCGTATCACATTACGCATTTAAGATGTCAAACGTGAATTGTGAAAAGCTCTGTCCATTCCATCATATCGTCTGCAAATTTATTATTGACGAAGGAATAAATAATAAGCTTCGTAAATTGAATTTGTAGAATAGCCGATATGAATTTACGCCCCGTTTATTATTAACTGTTTTGTATTGAAAGTCAACTTTTCCAGTCTATTGCACACATCGTGATATGCATATTGTTACTTATATGTATATTTTATGTACATTGAAGATATGCATAAAAGTGCTTAAAGAAATTTTTGCACGGCGACAAAAGACACGCTCGTTCATTTTCCTAGATAAGTAAGCAGCTGTTGGCGGCACCTGCTTTTGTTATCGCCTCTCGGGTAAAAGCTACCGAATAAATTTATCTGAATATTTTAGTTGACAATTTGCTGATGTAATTGATCGAACGTTGTCCCTTTATTATGTGTGTAACTTTTTCATTTCAAGAATAATATGGGATTATTTCTTAGATCTTTAGGAGCAAATGTTTAATTTCCATAATTTCTAACTGCTTTTATCGCTTCAGTGATTTTTCAACATCTGACATCGCAATGAACAACATAGTACGTAATACAAAGCTTTTATATTATATTCGAGTCACATAAAATTTAATTTTACATAGCGTTGTATAAAATTTTGGATAATGTGTCTTTCCATTTAAAGATCTATTATATTACTATATATTTAGTAATTTAATTATATTCAATTAAAACTTATGTAAAGTTTTATTTTTCGTATATGCAGATATGTAGGTATGTCTAGTTTTTTCACCTTCTTTTTATTTACCAGCTGAATCTGATTAAATGGGAAGATCCCATCTGTTCATTATCTCTGTCCAGGTAGAGGACATTTTATTGTATCGAAATCACGATTAAACCGGTGTTTTTTTTTTTTTCGCGAATGGTGAAGAATGTGGAAGAAGTTCTTTTAGACGTGCCACGTGCCTGAAGGATTTAAATTCAAGGAACATGCGGCAGTTATAAGTTCTACGAAGACACAAGCCTTTACGCAACTTGCCGGGAATTCTTGGGCTAATTTGATCTCCTTGGCTCCATCGCTCTCATTAACAAAAATTAATACCCTTTACAGAGTTTACCTAATATCGAAGATATTGGCTGTGTTTCAGACTTCACTGTCAGTACTGAAAATCTGTAATTTACACTGTAATTTTCACCCATGCACTGTAGATTTTAAATATTGGCAATTAATTTTGGGAAACAATAAGCGTATAAAGAGAAGATATAACTTTTACTTTTTTGCGACCGGTTGAGGATCGTTTTATCTCTACATTTTCTTATGTTTTTTTCTTTATGGGAATCAAAAATTGTTATTATTATTATTATGACTCATTATAATAATAAGGAAAAAATTGATACATTAAAAATTAAATAATAAAATTCTTATTCACATCTTATTCAAATCTATCAGTTATGCTTCGATCACTTACAAACTAATTCAGAATTATTGATCCAACTTCTCTCCCTGAATTAATTTTTAAATGATTAAAGTATAACCGATAGCGATTTAAATAACGATGTAAATAAGGATTTTATTAACTTTATTTTAATGTCCTAATTTTTCTTTAAGTATAGCGTCATTATTATAATAATTTTCGGTTTCTTTGAAGAAAAATACATAAGAAAATGTAGAAATAAAATGATCCCCGAGCGGTCATAAAAAAGTTGTATTCTCCTTTTAGAGATACTCTTCTAGTTCTTAAAAATCGTCGCTCAAGTTATCTGAAAAGTAAAAATCTATATTAAACTACGAAAACATATAAATATAAATAACTACAGCTTTGAATATTATTATTCCGACCAGAATTACTGATTGCTATGCTTTTTCGATTCCGTTTTGTGTTCTTACGATGCGTTTTACACGAATTCTCAAGTACTTCCGAGAAGAGGGGTGTTTGCTATCGATGTAAACATAAGTACATCTGCGGAGGGATGATATTTTCTGTAGATTAATAAAGTAGCATGGTATGATGCTATCGATACTTATCAGATAAAAATCGACTGTAATTATTAGTCGAGGTGTGCGATTAACATCTTAATTTATCGTTTCTTATCTTTATCGTGCTTTGCTGCTCTTGTACTCTCAATCTACTGGCATGACGGCTATAGCTTTGTCATCAGTATGTCGTGTTGTGTTCGATGAAACGGAAGCTTTTTACTCTGAAAAAAGAGTCTGATTGCATTGATTAGAATTCTGGTTGAAAATGGACAAATCAGAATTTGCTGGTTGAATCTATTAGTATATTATAATCGAGGTATATAATCAGAATTCTGATTGAGATACGATCAGAATTTTCTGGTTCGTTTATTTTCAACCAGCAATTTTTCTCACTGTGTTATTCAACGCGATTAATATTACACGGAGGCCTGCGTTTATCATGGTGGGCAACGTTATGAGAGAGGTTCTTTCTTCGGGCGTAATTAAATGGGAGTGGTGTCGTTTTAGCTTGTTTGCATTCCATAGTGTTGGACCGTTCGCGATGACGTAACTTCATCTTTCGTATCGTCTGAATGCGTAGCAACCATGCAGCTTGAAATGAATTGCGTTGGAGAATCGCGCATCGTTTCGCATTTCGTACGCAATAAATTTGTCACGTGCACCACTCTTTCACTCAGTAGCATTTAATAACCGCAAAGATATTAATTCTGTGTAAACAAAGTTATTTTCTAAGCAAGTATGCTTATAAGTGCAGCATTTTTTTTTTTTTTAGTCAATATATGACATTTTTCTTTTCCCCTGTGATATTTATAGTAGATCTGATTGAAGATAGGGGTTCATTAGAGACGAGGATGTTTCGATCGAGCTGGCTCTCAGCATGTATGAAGCGACGATAGGAACCCCAGGCCATCTGCAGCACACATATGTTTATGGGCACACGCATACGTCCGCGGGTGCTCCGTTGCTATCGTTGCATAAGCTAACTATATTCTCAGTCGCTCACCCCCGGATTCTCCCTGGCGTATGCAGCTGTTAGGGGCGAGGGAAAGGGGAAAAAGTGAGGGTGAGCAGATTGCACGGCACGTACTGAGAGGAGCATACGACATTGCCTTCTGTTCTCGGATGCATTGTTATTCAGCGGGACAGTGCATAGACCTACCTCTACGAAAAAATGTCGTGTCCCAGAATTCATAAAAATTAGGTTTTTAGGATTTAATTATCGATGATTAATCTAGAAATCAGATTCTGACTTTTCCGAAGAAGAGAGATTGACATTCTCTAGTCTTTGATTTTTCGACAAATTTTGATGATTGACACGTAAAATAATAAAAAATTATATCGCTGTTTTGAAACGAAGGACAGCAGTTTTTGGAAATTTTCTAATAAAGTGAAATAAATTATATTAATTGATGCACGCAAAGAAAAAAGATTTGTTAAAGTAACTAAGAATGATTTCGTTGATTCAGCAAATCTACAGCCGTAATACATGAACAACCAGTTTTCTATGAAATATCACAGTTATACAGCTGAATAAAATTAGCGTGGATGGATTATAAGTTATCATATTTATAATAGCAGCAAACTTTGTTAATACAGCAAGGATAGGTTTCTATCAAGGAAGATCAATCCAATATATAGAATATATAGATTAAAATTTTTAACAAAACGTACTAGCTATGATGGCACATAGTTTTGTTACTGTAATAAACTTGTTACATTAACAATTTTCATTGTAGCAAAGAATTTCATTACAGCTGAATTAGTATACTGATAATAATCGTTTAGACAGAATTTTTTTATTAAAT